AATATACCTATGTATTTATATCCCCCCCCATATATATATATATATATATATATATATATATATTCAAGTATTTGAATGAAATTTTTTTTTTTAAGTCTAAACAGTGATAGCATCATTACCATCATAAATTATTTATCATGTCATGGGTTGGGGTTATCGGAATAGGATGGAGGGAATTGCATCGTAGTCTTTAACAAAATGTTTTCTTAAAATTTTATAAGTAAATTTAGACAAACCAATTAGGGAGTTAAATTTGCCAATTTTGTAATGTTTGAAACAAGTAAATTCTTTACTCTCTTGTACACACTCAGCGTTGAATTCAAAAATTTAAAAACAAGTAATGAAAAAATGATTAGGCAACAAAAAAAACTAAAAAATAATGGTATGGAAAAGATTAGATTGATAAGGGTTAAAATCATAAATAATAATTGAAAGAAAAATGATTTTCTGTATCCCTAATTGAGAGGGTATTGAAATTCGAAAATTTGATTATTGTGTTATGATTTAGATTTTTATCACATAAAATTCATATGATTCGTTAAATTCTTGCTATTCCAACCATCACTTACCCTAAGAAAAAACCAAACACATTAGAAGAAAAAAAAAGGGAAGAGAAGAAATCTTACAAAGCCAATCATCCAAATGGAAGTGTTCATGACTTGACCATTCTGTCAAGTTGACTTTGGGTCCCCAACTAGTCTTGTCCCCTCCAACGTAGTGAAGTTCTGATTTCACAATGTTTAACAACACCATCATCATTATTATCAACACCATTTTTTTTAAACTCAAAATCTCCATTTTTTTCAATGCCTTTGTCTATCTAATATCTATTCTATTTTTTACTAAATAAGATTTCAAGTCTCAATATGAGAGTTTTACTTTTTGGAAGTCAATGAATATATAGAGTCAAGGTCCAAAATAATGTATATGGAAAGATTGACAGGTAAAAATTGAGATGCATATAGCATTGTCACATTTTTAGAATGAAAGCAAAAATCATTTCCTAATTTTAATTTTTAATTAATTGTCACTATGCGTTTGGAAAGAAATTAATTCAAATTTGAATTCATGATATTCTTTTGACGGTTTTCAATCAATTATATTAAATACTTTTTTGGTAACAGAAAAAATATCGAGCTCGTAGAGGATATTTATCGATAAGAATTCAATTAATATTGAACGCCAAATTCCAATTATCAATTTTAATGAAAGAATGAAACATGATACCTATACCATCTTGGATCCTTGGTTGCTTTGTGAACCAAACTGTACCTGCCTGAGGGTACACTCGTAATCTTCAGGGGAATATGAGGACCGAACGAGAACTCTAGGTGGATTCTTCGGAGGGGGAGGTACCTGCAAAAGATACTCCGATGCTTAAGTCAGTGTGGGCACGATTTTCTAGGGTAATGAATGAACAGTGACATACCTTGTTACGTGTGACCTATTTATAGCATCTGACATGGGCCTGAGCGTGATGGGCCCTCTCAGATATTTACCAAATTAGGTAATACGGTACTAATTGGTCGTTTAGGCTTTAATCATGTACTTACCTTTCTTGATTGTGATTACTTGTTATGACTTGCTTAACCCTTCGGCAAGAGGCCGAGCCGGCTAATGAATACTAGTCGGAACGGCAAATGACCGAGCCGTCTAGTCCGTATACGGCAGCCTGTATACTTCCGGTATGTTCTGTGTCGGAACGGTACCTGACCGAGCCGAATCGATGAGTGATGATGGTCCATATTTGCATTAACCAGACTGATGTCGGTTCTCGGCCTCATGCCGAGCCGACGTTGATGGTGATGCTTGTACGTGGCTATGCATGGGTGTCTGACGAAATGGCACGTGTTGGCCCACGTGACCGATACGGTCTCTCCGGTACACAAACCTTTATATGTGGAAAGATTGACGGCACTGATTAAGATATATAGAATTGTCACATTTTTATAATGAAATCATTTTCAGATTCTAATTCATTGACACTACTACTGGTTTTTTTTTTTTGTTTGGAAAGAAGACAATTCAAATTTGAATTCAGTAGATTCTTTTAACTAATATTGAATGAATTAAATCTATACCATTAATAAAAATGTTAGCCAATTTTTGGTATATATATTTGTATTACTGATTTGTCTTTTAACTTTCAAAACGTTTTTTCTCTCGATCATATTTTTTATTTAGTTTTTTGTTATTATTTTTCTGTAAATTTATTTTTCAAAATTTTCATTTCTCTAAAATATAAATAACTACTGATAATCACTCGCATTATCTAATAAACTATCCACATATATTTATTAATTATTTTTATCATTTATTTTATTTTCATTTTTTAAAAAGAATACAAGGTATGATATTTTTTTTACGTCAGTTTTTTATTTTTTATTTTTTACTTTCTATGCTAGTTAAGCATTATAATTATATCAGTTTGTTTTACCAAACTTACTAGTCAAACTTGAGAGAATAAATTGAGTTATTTAAAACAAGTTTTACAAATCAATTTATCGAGCTTGTAAAGAATTCAATCAATGGAAGAATAATTCAATCTATGGAGTAGCGTGCCCAATCTCTAAAGATTTACTTTTAGTTTTAATTTCTTATATCTTTTCCTTTAATTTAGATATTTGATTTTCTAAAAAAAAAAAAAAGTTAATTTTTTTTTTAGTATAAAAACTTTTGCTAATCTTAGGTCTCGTACTCTAATAGGCTATCATATTTGAACTTTTTAGAAAACTTCTTATAGGGAGCAAATTCAAAATATACTTATTTTGTAAAGAATAAACATATTTGAACCAAGAACCCTTTTTTTGGCCAGCTTGAATTAACATGAAGGTAATAGCCACTTCATGGCATAGTTGAAAATATATTTGTTCCAATCTCAATTCCATTACTTGAACATCAAATAATTCACAATTCATGGGATAATTTTTATCTTACCTTTTATCCTGTTCATATACAAACATTTCAAAAATACTCTCCCGAAATCAAATAGACACTGTCCCATGTTAGTGTTACCAAAAACATTTTCCTTTTTCAACCATACAAATTTGGTGAGGCAAGAAATGTTGCAGATAAACCAAATGAGCACACCAAGTAAAAAAGTAAGAAGAATCTCACTCTTATTGTTCAAATTTTGCAAGATATAAGGTACAATCCTTTCCTCCCTTTTCACCCCCCCACCAATAAAAACAAGAACCTCTTTCTCTTATGCTGTAACAATGTCACAACTTCTAGTCTATCATCTTATGTACAACATTTGGAGACAAGAAAAGGTGTCCCCTAAAGTCTGCAAGATCCACCAAAGAAAGGATGCAGTGAGTATAATATATAGAATGATCCATCAAAGAAACCTGAAAAGGCTTGTCAATCAGCAATCCTCTCAAGAGGCATAATCAATTCAACCAACCAACCAAATATATAACAAACAAACAATCTTCCACTTTCCATTCAAACCGAAAAGCAGGCCGCTACTCCACAACTCATATTGTTATGTTGTTAGACTTCTCATCAAAATTGAAGATGCAACCATCAAAACTCTGTGCCATGTGTATTTACCATTAAGGTGTTTTATCAGTCATCAACCTAATTAAGGTCTTCTTTCACAGCGTTATTTTCTTTGGCACGGAAATCCTCCAAACTACGATACTCTTCTCGGAGCAACCTGTCCAGTTCAGGGTGTTTATTCAAGGGCTCTTTATGGTCGCGGATCCTGCGATAGTGATGAAATGCCCTGCCAATGCCATAAATATTAACAAAGCATAAGTCCTAAAGAGTGACGATGGCGTGAAGATAAGCGCCAAAACAGAATACAACTTTGGTTGTGCACTAACTAAACAATATGATTAACTTCTTTCACTATGACAAATCTCATATGAAATTAGGAAAAGGACTAAATAAAATTACAAAACAGAAAACATGCAGTAAAATAATAAGAAGCAAGGGTAAATTGGTTTTACCAATATTTTTCTAGGCCATATAGATTGCCCTTATGGTAGAAATCCAGAGTAAGTTGTTCAAAATCCTTGTATAAATCGTCTCTAAATTCTTTCTCCAATCCATAACTGAACAATGAATTGTTAAAAAATCAGAACTATGCATGAATGTCTTCACAGCCATAAAGCAATCTAATCAGTTTCTCCAAAGAAACAATATATGAATATTCAAAAGACTTGAAATCAGCTTGTTACTTTCCTCAACAAAATGGACTAGAAGATGAAATCTAAATGATGGTTCTAGCTTCTCAAACACGTGAGAAGAGTAAAATTTGATATTTATACCTGTAGAATCTAAAGAGGCACTCTATGCCATAATTATAATTAGCTGCAGCATCTTCCTTGGCTAATTTCTTAAATTCATTATACATAGAAGGCACAAACATGTCTCGAAGAAAATAGGACCAGAATCTGTATAATGTATTCATTTCCTGCAGACACACAAAACGTAATAAAAAAAACTACCAGAATAAGCAAGTGTATGATTGAAAAAGAAGTATAATGTGAGAAAATATAAATACTAAGTTTGCAAATAATATGAAAATTCAAAATGTATAACAAAGTGTATGCATAATGCACAAACTAAGCTAATGAAGATCAGAGTACTGCATTTTCAGGCTCATTTTGATATGATATGATAGCTTCAGCTATTGGTCGTTCATGTTAAAAAGAGAAAGAGTTAAGCACTGCAAACCAATAATGTAAATGCCAACTGTAGTAACTATTCAACAGTTTTCACTAAAGAAATATTACAGCATATCCATACAAAAAGTATTTTATAAGATAACTCAAAATTAATTGATAAAAAGACAGACAATGCAGAATAAAGGTAACGAGAACATAAAGAAACATTAGTATTGAGAGAATGAGCTATCTGTGCACTACCAATTTGGACAACAAAATTTTGTTTAGTTCAGCATTCAATCTTCACAAATGTTATTTTTCATCAAAACTTAAGAAATGAAGTTCACCTCGCTGCAACCAATTCCAAGCTTCTTTCTATCATTCAAGCACCGTTTATGATACTTTAAGTACCTGAAAGGAAGAATAATTACATGAGTTTTTAAAATGCAATACATTCTATCCTATATGGCTATATCCTAGCCTAGGATTGCTCATGCATATGAACAGTAAGCATTATCATTTATCACTTACTTCTGTTGTTTGAAACCATTTTCTTCTAAAAGTTGGTGACTTGGGTGCTGAAACGGTGGAAAAGACTTTGGCAAGGAACCCACAGGTGGACTACCAGATAGACCCCCATGTGGTGAACTACCGTAAAGACCGGCATGTGGTGAACTACCAGAAAGACCCCCATGAGGTGAACTACTCAATTTTGAAGGCTTGAAACTGCAAAATTAAGATAATTATTCGAAATTGCTTTTCAATTGTCAAACAAAACAATCAACATGTTGTCAACTCATGATCTCTAAAACAACTGTTACTTTATATTCTTTTTTTTTATAAGATACTAACTTAATATTCTTCTAGTAAAGGACAAAAGTGAAAGAAATAGACTACGCAAACCAATATAACAGGCATTGCTACTGGGAAGAATCATTTAGAACTGACCCATGATTTTCAGGAGGTGTAGAAGCAAAGAAAAACCCAACCGAATTACTAGGCGGGCTTTCAGATATGATTCCATGAGAGTTACGTCCAGTTCCGTGGTTTCTAAAATTACTTGAGAAAAACCGCTGTTTTAGGGAAGATGGTTGCTTGTGAAAGACTTTTTGTTTCCTTCGAGAATTATTGATTCCAGATTCTTCAAAGCTGGTTCCACCATTACTCTCAACCACCTTTATATTTGATACACCAGAATTATGGCTTGGGGATTTTATGTTTCGATCTCTACTATCAGAGTTATTCTTTCTACGATTAGACCGCCTATGTTTCAGTTCCTGTTGATGTTTAGGTGGGGGCAACAAAAAATTAAATAAAGATGATGATCTGAAAAATAAATAACAACAGGTAAAATACAAGAATGGTGACTCAACCTGCTCGTAGAAGTAAAGCCCATCATTTATTGCAGAAGCAAGCTCGTTGGAAATGGATTTTGATTCTTTAGCACCAATTCTAGATCCTTGTTTAGGATCACTATTCTGTACATTAAAATAGAAAAATACTAAATAATCAATTCATCTTAAAACATTTTAACAGATTATGGTTAAATCAGTTTTCATTTCAAACCAAAAAACAGACATTACATAGCCTTATAGTTATAACTTATAATTTAGTATAGAGCGCATTAAAGTTATTATGTAGTTCTGGCCTCTGAACAGCCATCAAATCAAAAGACCCTCAAATTGTTTTAGTTTTCATCAGTCTTGCTGTTTGAGCAATCTGGCAATGTAAAATTGAAATCTAATATGAATGATAACCCAATTTATAGGAAAGAAAAAAATGTGAACTTAATGTTAATCAAACTATCAACAGCAATACCTGGGTAACAATTACTAGTCTCTGAACATCCTGTTCAATGACAGCCATCTCATCATCTTCATCATCAATCCTTTTAGGCAACAACTTCAATTAGATGAATGTTTAAACAAAAAAGTAAACATATACTTAATGACAATGGCACAAAAATCACCAAATATCATTCCATATGGGATGTCAAAAAAAAGAGAAGTATTCTAACTTCTCAAGCAGAAGATTAACACATTGTTTTAACAAGGGGGAAAAGAGAGAAATCTTTGAATTTCACGTTCCAAAGAAATCAAGAGAGTTGTCTTCTATAGACTACAAATAAAATTATGGAAAATATACACAGGATCACGAGCCAGCCAGGTGTCAGAATCTATAAATAAAACACATAATGCATATTCCACCGGATATATATAAACAAGATAAGACAGAACTATGTAGTACCTTGCACTAGAAGAAAGCTCTGTCTTCCTTAGAATCTTCTGCTCAAGCTCAATCTCTTCATCAAGCATAAAAGTATTGCCAAAATCATTGGAAAGGTCTCGGACATCCATGTCAGTCAATACATCCATGTTTCCAGCCTCATTATTGTCAAATATTTTAGGCTCAGTTTCTTGTTGGCTACATAAATTACTATTAGTTGTATCAAAATCACGGAACTTGACAGTTTCACCAGTTATTGCATGTGGTTTATCATTGGAATGATGGCTCTCAGTGTTTTGTTCTCGGTTCATATGTGAAACTTGCAACATATCTTTTTTTGGCTGAGTATGCTCAGCCAAAATTGAACTATGAGCAGCATCTTTAAGATTCGCTTCCAAAGTCTCTTTTTTTGAATCCCCAACAGCATCACCATCCTCAAGAGAATTGTCAGGACCCTCTACAAGTTGGCTCTGTTGAATCTGAGCATTTGATGATCCTGAGTTTCCTGAGGAAACTTGAATCCATTTTGACCAATTACTGCGTTTCCTTATTAAGTCACCCTACAAAAATATAAGTTACAAGTGAAGGCAACTAAGAAAATGAATTATACTTGGGCAAAAAAAAAATAAGTAGTTGGTAAGTTATCCGCAATTTTTCATGCACTTAATGAAGTTGTCATTTAAAGCTGGCTCCAAGCTTCCAACAGAACTACAAGTGTTAACCAGAAAAATTATAAATTGAGGAACGAAGAAAAACACCATCAACAACTGAAAAATGTGTTGAAATCTAAACTTCTGACTAACATGAAATTGCATCCCATCACTTTAAAATATTTATAAAAAAAACTACGTACAAATCACACAAACATTTAAAACTACCAACTCCCAATATTAATAGCAGAGAAGTACAAGAACAAAAATAAAAATAATTCAGCTTAGGAGCAACGGTAATTAAAGCAACAAACTAGATTCTAGAGGTAATGAGAAGCTTAGGCCTGTTTACACCAGCAAGCATGCAGTATAAAACAAAACCAAGAAAAGCAAAATAACCTGGACTTCCACAGTATTAGAGCTCTGAAGTGCGTCAAGAATGAAAGGTATGTCTCTGCACATCCTCTTGACCTACAAGATAATTCATATCATAAAAGGCTAGTGAGAAACAGGGAATAACATGAATTAGAACATGCTAACAGATAACATACATCAGTAAAATTAAAACAAATTAGGGAGGCAAAATATGATTGGGACTAACCCTTTTAAAATCGGCAACAGTGGATATGGGAACCCATCCTTGGTCATCCATCAAGGAAATAAGGTAATGGTCATCCTCCAGATTTTCATCACTGCCAAGAGAAGGCTCCGAAGTCAGCAGTTTGCTTTGTTGTATAAATTATATTTTATTATATGAATTACTTTTGTTTATTTTCACAGAAAATGGATATCATTACAGGAGCTCCTGTTCAATTTCTAATGTTCATTAGCTCATTCATGTTGCTTTAACAATTCAAAGTCCAAACACTACAAATCAATTCCACTTCATCTTTGGCAATAATTCTCAAACAGTCCCGTCTAAAAGTTAAATTTATGAAATCATCCTATGACACAGTTTTTGTGTGTATGAATCTAAAAGTATGGCATTTCTCAGTAAGAAAATAAAATGACAATACAATGACATTAACAAAAGTTAGAAATATCATTCTCACAATATAGATAAGCAGAAGCAAGATAAAAAGAACAGCCAAAAGACAGTCACTATATTATGTATTTAAGATATGTTTAATCTTAGCTAACAGATTAAAGACCAAATATGATATAGAGGCCATGGTCAACAATTAACTTACCTAAAATAATAGTCTATCTGTTTAACAATACTAGCCCTCAAAGATGCAGTTTCCGGAGGCGGTGGCTGAGGTGTAGGGTTGACAGGATATGGAACAAAGTGTCGAGGATGGGGTCCTCTAATGGAGCCGGGAGGTGGCATAGGGACACACCAAACAGGTGCAGGTCCTGTCCAGAAGATAAAAATATGATTACAGACTAACTGATGCACAAATTTCAAAAAAATCAAAGAAAAATCCTCACACAGCAGCATTCAAGTTGAGAAATCTACAAGTGGCACTGCACAAACGGAAGTAAACGTGTGTGTCTGTGTAATTGCACAACCATGTTAATATGAGGATTGTGAATTGAAATTATACCTGGGTAGCTTGGACCAACCATGTATCCTGGAGGTGGACCATAAAATGGAGGTCTTATAAAGGGTCTTGGGCCAAAACCTTGTTGCATAGGAATGTTTGCTCTGGAAGGGAAAGGTCTTTGATGATGCCAACCATGATTTAGATGGTCACCTTGTTCTTGGATATTTGGTCTTCCATTAGAAAAATTAGCAGCATAGGCATTTGGATCCCCTTGCACAGGAGGCTGAACATTTTTTGCATCGACAGCATGAGCAGGTGGAGCAAAGGCTTGTGCTGGCGCCTGAGATACAGGCTTCACTAAAGGGCTTTCTACACCTGGAAAAGGTCCTGGACCAGGTGGGAAAGCATAACCATGAACAGCAATGTGAGGAGGAGGTACCATAGCGTGATAAAATGGATGAACTGGATGATGATGATAAGCCATTGGTACAGGAAAGGGAGGTGCACCACTTGAGTTGCGCTTAGCACCCGACTTTTGATGGCGTGACGATGGCAACTTATGCATTGGGTTAGGGTTTCCAGAACCATTCACCTTCTGTTGAATAACAAACCGAGGCAGATACAAACAAGAAATCGTATTCAATACCAAAACACAAGAATCATGCATCAATAAGCTTATAACATTTATTACCGTCACGACAACAGCGGTATTAATGGGGAAAAAAACAAGCACCTAAAATATTTGTTTAACCATAAGAACAAAATGTTATTTACTGCTTATTTACATACCATCCAATGTTAATCAATAACCACAATTATCGCGATTGTAATATTTACGATAAAATCATGAAAAACATAATAAATCACAAATGATATCCTCAACAAAAAAATTCTGCTACATACAAGACAACAAAAATATCGATACAAACTCAAGAACCTATTACATTTCCATGAATCTATGCATTACGTATTCCATATCACAATTGACATGCTTGCAATATTTAGGCTAAAATCATGAAAACCATGATAAAACACCAATGATATCCTCAACAAACAAATTCTATTACAATACAAAACAACAAAAGTCACGATACAAACTCAAGAAAGTATTACATTTCCAAGAATCTATGCATTACATATTCCATATCACAATTGTCATGCTGGCAACATTTAGGCTAAAATCATGAAAACCATAATAAAACACAAATGATATCCTGAACAAGTAAATTCTGTCAGGATACAAAACGAAAACATACCTCTCTGAACTAAAGAAAATATTACATCTCCATGAATCTATGAATTACATTTTCCATATCACAATCAGTCAATACAATGCCACACAAAGAAGAACATACTAACCTGCATAGAGGGAGGTCTTTGAGCAACCTCACCAGCACTTGACACAGAAGCAGCAGCAGTCTCAACATTCTTGGGTTTTTGTGCATCAGAGAGAGCTGGCCAAGACTCAGTGCCCATCATCACAGGCACATCACCTCCCTTCCCATCAACATTAGGGGTCTTCCATGGAGACTTGGGGACACCAATCTCCTTCTGATCCTCACCAATCTCATTCTCAGCAGTCACCATAACTGCTTTTTCTCTCACCAATCCACCCAACTCCCAAGATTTCCCCCTCTAAACCCCTCTTGCAAAAACAAGAAAAAAAACACAACACTCCAAACTACCAATCTAAAGGGTACTCAGAGATTCACCAAAAACGCAAAAACACGACAAGAAAATTGAACCTTCACTTGCCTACTGAATCAACGATACTGAGCAGCACAACACTGAAGAGAAGAAAATCTCAAGTGGGTATGGTAAAAAAGGTTCCTTTTGAGAAGTTTGAACGAGAGAAAGAGTTGGGTCGGTGTAGCAGCAGAAGAATGGTGAAAGATTAGGGTTTTGACAGTGAAGTGATGTAATGGGCTTGTGTTTGTGAGTGTGTTTGGAGACAGTATCAATATTGTTAACAGACGCCAACAAAGTGAGGGTAACTGAGGAAAAGGTGAGTGAGAGACAAGGTTTTAGAGTTTGTGTATATATAGGGAGTGCCCTTATCAAATGTTCCAATTGGTTCTTTCCTTGGAAGCAGCAAGAGAGTGCCCTTAGCAAAATTAAACCCCTATAATTAGTGCGCTGTTTGACATTTGTTTTTTCTTTAAAGATATGTTTAGGAAAGTAAACGATAGACATTAAAACAGAAATAATGCATATTAAAACAGAAACAGTTGAAAGAATGAGATTCTCTTGTATGTTTTGTTTTTCCTTGTTTCTAGTTTTCACTTTCTCGTTGTCAAACAAACTTACTTTACAGTTTTTTGTTGTTGGTTCTTTATTTTAGTACATTACGAGGTGTTATTGCTCAAACAAACGCGCTTTTAATAAATTCAATTTTATTTTGTACTGTACGGATTTTTTCATGTTTAACTAATAAAACTAAAAATTAAAAATATATTTTTTAAAAAAAACATCATTTACTCTTTGTATAAATTAAAGTAGAACATAATTTGAAAGTAAGGTTCTCACATTTTTTTTATTCTCTTCGTTAATTAACTAATAGTTTAACTTGTACAATATATTATTTCCGTTAAGATTCAATTACTTAATTTAATAAAGAAAGATAATTAATTTAGTTAATAATGATAAATTTGATCTATTTATATAATTTTTTCTCTTTTGAAAACTATTCTTATACTATTTTTCCTTTTTAATCAATATACATATATTTTTTAACCAATTAAAATATATACTCTTTAAAGTATTTATAATTAATTCATTTTATCAAATTAAGAAAATACACTTTCATCAAGGGTATTTTAGTCTAAAAAATTAAAATATGAGATAATTTGAATTAGGGTTTTATATGTAACATTCCAAATTTTTAAAACAATGTTTAATTATAATATTATATAGTTTTAGCATTCTCAAATTTATTATTATTATTATGTTTTTAAAATAATAATATAAATTTCTAGTTGTCATATTTTAAAATAAATAGAGATTAAGAACAATATTTTTATATAATTGTAATACTTTAAAAATTTTATTACAATATTTCCAGTAAAATAAAATGGAAATATATAATATTTAATTATATTATAAAATTTTAAAACCCTATTTATAATGTTTTCCTGAATAATATTTTAATTACATTATTATTATGAAGTATAAATATTTAAATTATAAAATCTTAAATATGTAATATAAGTAATAAAATTATTTTAAATTTTTTAAATATATATATCATAGGTAGTTAGAAGAAAAAGAGAAGAAATTTATAAATAAATAATGTAACAAATAAATCTACCGTTTGTACGGATGTTCATCTATAAGTAATGAGGTTATCTCTAACAAATGATATTAGAATTTGTTATTCAATTCTAACTAAAAAATAAGTTATTGGTGATCATTACCAATTTGCTTATAAGTAGGCACTTATAAATAGGCATGGATTCATATAAGAAAAATTGAGAAAGAATGAAGAGAAAGAGCACGAGAAAAAAAAGTGCGAAAATTCATTTTACTTTGTTTTAAGCTGTCTCTAAACGATTTCACTATTTTATTAAGGTATGGGGAGGAGACTTTTGCCTCTTTTAAATTTTTATATTATTTTAGTTGTTTACTCTAAGTTATTCTTATTTATATTTATTTGATAGGATGTCCCTAACCTCATCTTACTTATTCAATGTATGTTAGTTTTAACTTTAATTAATTAATGAGATATCCATAATTTATTTTGTTTAATTATTTTCTGTTAATTTTAACTATCATTTAATATATATATATATATCTTTAAATAGTAGTAACTGTAAATTTTAATTTCTTATAATAAATTATCAATGGACTTGAATTAATTTGTAGTTTAAAGTTTAATTTTGAGAATTTAAATGAATATTTAAGGTGAAATATCATTGTATTATTTGGTACTATGATTATACTCATTTATCATGACTAGTCACTACAAAAACAATTCAAATCCCTCAATAGAGTAATAATCTAAAATTGTGATTAATAATGATATGAAAATATTTATATGTATTGTTAATTAATTAATTTTTTATTCGATAAACGTTCTCACTTATTTCTTTTATATTTATTGTTTTATTGTTCTTGATATATGTATGTATTTTTTAAAATCTTAAAGAGATGGATCTATCACTTAGTTATACTTTTCACCACGGTTACTTCGATTGTATTTCTCGGTACCAGTTGGACTATTGATGCTATTGGAAATTCAGTAACGTTTCAAGGCATTGGGTTAACTTCGTTCGTATTTTCACAAAATCAACAAACTTTGATATATATTGGTGGTCACGTACTATCTACTTCCTACTAACCATGTCAATTCTATAATAAATCTATATCAACTTGGGATGTGAACCTGTGGTATAAGTAAGAAGAAAAATCTGTATTAAATAAAATATTTTTCTTCATCTAAATGTCGTATCAGTTATATATAGTTTTGGTGTACCAAAAATCACTTTTGTGTAAATAAATCTAACTATGGTGTGGTTTTTTTACCTGGTAATGTTTAAAATTTAAATTATAAATGATAAAAAATTTATAAAATTGTATAACAATTTCAAATTTTGTAATAGCTATATAAATATTGCATGACAAGTAACTTATATATATATATATATATATATATATATATATATATATATAAAAGATAATTAATTTGATTGATTTATGAAATAAATATTAAATAATTAAATTGAAAATTATGAGTAAGGTATTAAATTATATAAAAGAACAAAAGTTGGATCTTATAAATAAAAATGAATGTAGTATAAAATAGTTTTATTTTATATAATTAAAACCATCAATAGTCACTGCTATTGGCGGTGGATACTCCAGGAACGAACAAAAAAAAAACTTTCAAGAGATAAATATTTTTTACAAAAATAAATAAATAAATTGTAAAATTTTAAATTATATTTTAAATTTATGATAAATAAATTATATATTAATATTAAGATTAATTTGATTTTTTGGTCCTATAGTTTTATCAAATTTTTAATCAAGTCCATGTAGTTAAACACACTTTAAAAAGATTCTTGAAATTTAAAGATCTTTAATTAAATTATTCAATTACTAACGTTAAAAATTCCATTAGTTTATGATAACTATATGTTGTGACATAACCCTAAAAAAAAAATGTTGTGACATAATAATTATCTGTTAACATGATAACTAATTATCTTTTTATTTTTCTTTATTTTATGTTTCTAATTCAATTTATAATTTAAATATATTAATTACACAAAAACTTGTGATGTCTTTCACCTTCAGATTTAAATCATATTTTAGTTTTAAAATTCTTTGATATCTTTCAATTTACACCTATTCTTAAAAATTAAGAAGTTGTAATACATAAATATTTTCAAAATTATATGCATACGATTTATAATAAATAAATATTTAAATTATACCATAATTAAAATTTATAGTATATAAATATAGTTTAATTTTGAATGAGTTTTATGATGTCCCACATGCATAATTAAAAGGAGGGAAGAGGAGGTGAGTGATTTTAAAAATTAATTTACTATTGTATCTTTATAATTTTAATTTTAAAAATATAAGTAAGAATATTTTGAATAATATGTTAAAAAAAATTAAAATATTTCTCTTTCTCTCTAAAGGAGGTTAAAATTAGATGAGAAGAAAAGCAAAAAAGGTTAAAATATATTCCCTCCCCTATTAGAAATTTAACAAAATAATAAACTTTTTTTTAAAACCACCTCCTTTCATTCCCCTTCCATTCATTTCCCTTCAACCAAAAATTGTGTTTTTGTTTGATTCATAAAAAATAAGAGCGATTTAAAAATATATATTTTTATATCTTTATAATTTTGAATTTAAAAATAAAAGTAAGAATAATTTAGACATTACACTAAAAATGTTTTTAAATCCTTTCACTCTCCATTCCTATAAATTAAACCAAACAAAAAAAATTATGAAAAAATCTTCTTATTCATTTCTCTTCAACTAATTAAAAAATTTGAACAAAATCAAATGTGAGAATGGAGCTCTCAAAAAGTAAAGAAATGTGTGTGTGAAAAAGAAAATATTCCATTAGATGCTTGTCAATTGAGTGTTAATTGAGCAACTAAACCAATAAAGAGTGATTTTTTAAATTGAAAAATGTAGCTAAATATTAATAAAAAGTAATTTCAATATATTATCGATATATTTATTTTCTGTTTATTTGAGAACTTTTTGCAAATTGTAGTGAACTTGATATTATGCAAAAAGGATTAAGTTGTAATTTTGCAATCTTAATTATATAAAATAGTCACGTTTGTGTAAAACATCATATATATATTTAAAGATCTTAAAGAAAAAATATTACCTCTTAGCTAAGAACATTACTATTGTATAAATGATTTTCATGTTTAAATTGTTATTAATAAGATATTTATTAATTTTTTGATCATGTTCATTGCTATTAATGCTTTTAGATAGCTAAATTGTTATTTTAGACACAAGCGGTATTTGAATTAAATAATGATGTTGGAAGAGATTAAGACACAAGTTATGTGTGGAGAAAAAAAAAGGATCACCTACTACAAAATATCTAACTGGTTTTTTTATAATGTTGTTAAATGTCTTAAGTAACTAAGGGGATGTTTTTGTTATAAAACACTTTATATATTCACACACACACAAATACTAGTCTAAAATACATGCAAGACAACCTCGTGACTCTATAATAAATTGTTGTTATATAACACTTAGGTCAAGCTTCGAAAATTTAATCTTAATTGATCATCTTAGATAAAGAAATTGATCCATAACAGAAATTGATCCATAACACTTGTTATCTTCAATTATTTTTATTGCTCTGCTTCACATGTTCTTCATAAACATTTTGTTTTTAATATAAATATGAATATAAAACTAGAATAAATATTTATTTTGAAACATAAATAATTAATTTAGTTTACATTACTGGTGTGAAACTATGTGAGTTTAAAGCCACTTTTGTGGCAACAAAAGGAAGGCATAGGCTAAAATAAGTTTATCCGTGTCGAAAAGTAGAAATTTTCTACATTATTTGATAGATAATGCTCCATATTCTATCCACAAATAACAGCCCTTATGCTTCAGTTTAGGCATCGCAAAAATGTTGTTCCTCCTTTGATAGAGTTAGAACTTAGAAGTAAGAATTTTTTAAATGAGTATATTCTTTCATTGGAAGAGAATTTGTGTCATTGTTTTCTCCTGATATTCGGAGAGAAGTTATAATTTCTTTTTCACTTAATGAAAATATTCTTTTATCAATTGAAGATTTTTCTTGTAAAAATTATTATGTGTCAATTCTTATCTTTCCATCTCTAATTTTAGTTGAAAGCTATATTTTTTTGATCTGTAATGGCATCGTTCTACACCAAACTTATATTTTGAACAAATTTAAAGCTGCTAAAATAAATTAGGAAACTAAGATAACAAGAAAAAATTATGGTTATAAACTTGTTTGAATGCATAATGTTCCCTTTCATACATGGAATTTTAAGTTCATTAGATGGAGATGGGTGATGACCACATAGTTCCCTTCTATGATTTGATCACGGAATCACCAGCAAAGCTGTATAAATTGTTTTTACCTAGCCAATTATTAACACACATTGCTTAACATTTTCTTCCATGTCTTTTTGCTATCATGTCACTTGATTCTTCCCCTAATTCTATCGTCTCAACACGCTCATATGCATATATATTGCAACCAATCCATGTATTACGCCAGCATGAAATGAAAATAATCACGACAACAAATTCTTTGGTGCAATACATACATACACACACACATATATATATATACACATATATATATATATATATATATATATGATAGAGA